CTCTCAAATAAATAAATAAAATCTTTAAAAAAAAAAAAGAAATGATCTTGTAGCTTTCCTGGTTTCCCTGCCCACCACACGTACCAAATAGCACTTTGTATGCTCTAAAGCCTTTGATGCCTTTTATTCAGTTACTTACTTGTTTACCTCTTCCAAACTCAAGAAATGAGCAAGACATTTAAATGGACACCTTACAAAAGGATATATAGGAATGGTCACTAAGCACCAAGAGAAGCTCCACTTTGTACTGACAGAAGTACCAGTGAGATACAGCATCAGACCTCCTAGAAAGGCCCAAATCAAACAGACCATCAGACTTTGGAGAGCATGTGGAGAGAACTGGAACCATCACACATAGCCAGGGGAACTGTAGGAGAGTACAACCACTTCGAGTTCAACACCTTATATATACACTACCCTGTGACCCAGGAATTCCAGCCCTGCAGGTTTATTCAAGAGAAGAAAACTTACGTCCACAGAAAGACCCACACAGCAGTCTTACCGTAGTCGGAAACTGGAAACCCAAATATCGATCAACAGGGGAATAGTACACAAATGGAAGTATATTCACAGAGTAGAATACCACTCAGACATAAAGAGGAACAAATTAGAATACAACAGTATGGATGAATCTAAAAAAGATTACATTAAACAAAAGATGTACACATACAAACTGTGATAGATGTCCCTCCAAAAGGCCAACCTAATTTATGATGATGGAAGTCAGAACGTGGTTTCCGCGGGCTTGGGGGGGGCGTCACATGGGGAAGAGCAGGGAAGCAGAAGGGGGCAGGGAGGAGTTTTCTGAGAGGATGATGATGTTCTCTATCTTGTTGGGGTGGCAGTTACAAAGGCATGTACAATTGTCAAGTCATCAAACTGAATACTTCTGTACATTTTATTGTATGTGTGTTATACAGCTCAGTAATAAGGCTAGAATTGTACATTAAAAAAATAAGTCAAGCCATGTTCTCCCCCAAAATTTTAATTTTGTATGCTGTTATTACATCTCTGTAGGTTGTCTGACTTCTCCCTTCTTTCTCTCTTCTTGTGTAGTACTATTTTATGTCCCATCTGATAGTTCCATGTTAAAATCAAACACAAATGGAGACCATTCTTGAAAATGCTTTGAACAGACAAAACCAGTTAGTCATACAAGCGAAGCTTAATTTAGCTTATTTTGCAAGACAAGTGAGGTAAACTTGACCTGGGTCACTCCTCGCTTATGCCTCTGAAAATCATAAGGAAAACTAAAATAGTTCCCCCAAATTGATAAGCGGTAACAACTAGCCGATTCCCTTTCATTTCAGAAAATTCTAACATTGTAACCAGTCACTACGGAGAGTAAGTACTCACCGCCTTCACGCTATAGAAGCTGCTTTAGAACAGTACACCTCAGAGCCTCATTCCATGTTGGGTGTGAGTGCTGTGGGTTGGCAGACTTTTTTGGGTGTGTGCACAATGGTGTCAGAGGTGGGATCCTTAGACGCTGACCCCTTGCGACCCCGAGGCCTGTGAGCAAAACTGGTGTCAGTTCCCACCGAGCCCTTTGTGCTCACTGTTTTCTCTCACTGACCTTGGAGTTTCTTGGGTCAGTCTCTAGGATCCCGGCTCTGCTCTGGGTTTTGAGCTGTCCAAGTTTACTGACCGCACACTTGCTCTCTGTTTGCTGGAGCTCCTTTGGTAAGTCACCCTCCCATCTGTAAGAGGAGAAACCTGTGATTCCCTGGGTTTTAGGCAATGGTGGACTTACCCCATTCCCCGTGGTTTGTTTTAAGGAATCTAAAGGCAGAGATGGTTTCCATCTGGTCTAAATCTTCTTTTCCTCCCTTAAAGACTCCTGCGTCTTACATGATGTATACCCACAATCGACCAGGATCTTGTGCCTTTCTGGAAAAATGGGTGGACCTAACAAAAGCATAATTTGGAATTCTAGCCGCCACTTTGGGGAACCTACGGTTTAGAAAAGATGATCGAATTTCAGGGCGCCCTTGAAAAGAGGATCCCGAATCTCTCAAAAACAATGAAATGTATTCTTTGGTTGGTTAACAGAGGCCTTCAGAAGACAGCATGGCTCTCAAATAGCTTTTCTAAAAGAATCATTACAAGGAGACAAAACATTGAAAACAAAAGCTCTGACCTGACCCTCCAGCTAACCCCCTCTGCACCTGCCTGTCCCGAAGCTAACCTTCCATTCGATCTCCCCCCACCTCCCCAAACCTCCTAAGTTCCTGATGTCCTTGAGAGTAAGACCATCCCGTGAACCGCGGATCTCAGCTGCAGGAAAATGTAAACCCTGGTCTTCACCTGAGCTCTGATTTGTAAAGGATTGTCCAGGCCTAAAGACGGATCAAACTAAATTTATAAAGACTTCAAGATTCTTGTTGGAGCTTCTGACCCTGGATTTTCTGCTTTATATCAATTCATTTACATGGGATAAAGAGTCCAGGAGGCGTCGAGAGGTGGCTCCATTGCAGACGATTGGAAAGACCCCTCCAAAAAGTCTTTGAGGATCCCACCAAACATGCCTCAAAAGAACAACAATAAAAAAAAGTGAGAAAAGTAGGTCAGTCACTCCTTGAAGCTATACCCAGGATTTTTCCTGTGAGAATCAATTGGGCCATGATACAGTCCTGTAAACAAAAAAGGGATGCATCAGTTGCAGACTTTCGATTTTGCTTAGAAGAAATATTTAGAGAGCGTTTTGGTCTCCGGGACCGCGAAGCCGGTAATGCCTTGTCTGTTCATTTTGTTAATGGGCTTCTCCCTGAGCTTCCTGATTTATTAAAGAAACATAAATTAAGACAGGAGATCACTCCCCTTTCTGAGCTCCAACATCTTGATGAGCATTTTGAACGAATTTTAGAACAGTGAAAGGGTTATCAAGCAAATAAACTCATGGCCCTACTATTAAAGCAGCTACAGGGGTGTCGACTGAACTTTAGAACTAACTTTGTACATTTCCCTATTGACAAGGATACTTGTCAAGACTGTGAGCAGAAGGGACATTGAAAAAAAAAGACTTTGCCCTCAAACAACCTAATTATCCAAGAAGAAGGAGCACTCAACCTTCAGATCCTCAAGATAATAACACTGATGGGGCTGAGGAACCGCCTGGTAAGCTACTCCCAGTAATTCCTATAAATCATCAGGGTGAAGTGAAATGAAACTTGACATAAATGAGAGATCTGCCCTGTGCTGGTAGATCTCAGAGGTCCTCTTTCTACTCTAAACCCCACCATGATACGCCAGGAACTTCCTCAGGGTAACAAAACTGTTGTGGTGTTAGGCATCAAGTTCAAAGAGTTCCTTTATCAGAGCCCATAACTCCTTCCCTTGGCCCCTTCCCTGAAAACCGTGCCTTTCTCTTAGGAGACACCGACTCCGTAAATCTGCCAGGAGGATACCTGTTCTCTAAATTTGGAGGCCGAGTACATTTTGTCTTTCCCCAACCACATGAATCTGTTAGCTCAGTTTTCAGACTTGGGGGTCTGACCTCATTTAACTCCTCAGGTGAACTTTGCTAGTGCGTCCCACCAGCCGGCTAGAGCTGAGACCGCTGCCGAGCCCTCCCACCACCACTTGCAAGCTCAGGCTGCTAGAAGAGTACCCAGGGGTTTGACACAGCTGTGAGGTGGGCCGAGGCAAGATTCGGGAAACCCCAACCACGTCAGAGGACCTAGTAGCCAGAGAGGACGCGGGAACAATCCAGAAGTCTGCTTCTAATGACCTGTGCCCAAAGTTTATAAAGAACAGAAAAGCGGTGAATCACCAAAGTGGTCATTAGTCAGAGTATTTACTGTGCACACACCAGAAGACTGTTTGCAAACCAGGAGCCCTCAACCCCAAACATGGAATGGAGCTCCAAGGTGGCTTCTAGGAGTGGGAAGGCAGTGAGTGTTATAATATTAAGACTTTTCTTAAAATAGAGGAATTGGTTAGTGGTTACCTCATATCAGTTTGCGGGGACCTAGGTTAGTTTTGCTTAAAATTTTCAAATGCATAAGCAAGAAGTGACCCACGTTGACCTGGAGCTTTTGCTGTTAATAACATTTTACCCCTTTATCAGTTGCTCTTTCTTTCTGTGTGTGATAAATCTATTTTAAATCATTTGGCAGTGTAATGCACACATCATAACCCACTGATCTTTTTAGTAAGGTGATTTTGACTTTCTTTCCATCTTTAGTCTTGATAGTATCATTTGAATATCGATGAAGATAGGGTTTTGTTTGCACTTTTTACTCAGTTAAAAAGCTCTCCTCCCCAATTTAATTTAATCATGTATCACTGGAAGTTTAACTGCTTCCCTTATAAATGAGCTGGCAGCTCATGAGAGCTGGGAGCTGCGTGAGTGATCATTCTCCATGACACATGAATGAATCCCACCAACCTCTCCTAAATGTTAAATTCTGAGAGATTTAGCATTTCTATTGCCTTTAATTATGCCTACTGCCATATAATATGCAATCTCCTATTGCACAACTTTTTATTTCAGTGCTGTATCATAGTGAAACCTTAATGTGTAAACATTAAGCCGTAATTAAGGATCCAGACTTAAAATTCAACCACGGTTAGTGTGTGTGCCAACAATGATAACTACTGATAAATTCTTAACTTACTCCTTTTCCTAGCAGCTGGAAATTTCCTTTGATACCAATTTTAAAATGGTCCTAATTTTAGAAGGGTGAAAATGTGGAAAACAGTAGCTTAGGACACTTCTATTGAAATATTAAAAGACACGAACTAGATATGTTCTGGTCGAGTTTTTTATTCTTCCCCTCCCCCCAAAAAAGAAATTCCATAAGCTTCAGAGAGAAGGAGTAGCGAGAACAGCACTGAGGTTTATACTCCTCATCTGTACCATAGGAAGCCGGGACATTGGGTACATTGTAGATGCTGTGTTATTAATTCCATAAGAGGGATCTTTGAATGCAGAATCTTAAACCCAGCCATATTTTTATTTTATTCATTTATTGAACAGATATTCTGGGCATCTTGCCAGTTGGATCCTCTGGGAAGCACATGCCAAGTGTACAGAAGGGGTTAGAAGTACAAGATTTGTACTGATGGAAATACATCTGGAAGATGAAGGGAAATGAAGCAGAAGTGGGCAGGGCGACCCTTCAGGCTGGGATGGAGGTCTGGCCTCTGTGAAGGGAGAGGGGGAAGGAAGGACAGTAGGGTAGGACAGTTGTGCGGAAGTCTGGGCAGGCGCTGGTGCAGAGATCGCCCCTTGGGGAGTCTGGGCTGGCCAGGAATGGAAAGCCCTGTCACCCCCACTGTGCTGAGTACTCAGCCGGCATTGCCTACCAAGTGGATGGACTCTGCTTGGAAACTGAGGCAGATCCCTCGGACAGCGGCAGCTGGAGGCTCTCTGCTAACTGCCTTCCTGTTTAGGGTCACTCTTGAAGGAGGATCTGCGGAGCACACCTCCTTACCCACAAGAGTCTCTTATCATGTACCGGCGTCGTTAGAATCTTAACTCTGCCACTTGGTTTGAATCTGAACCTGGACAAGCCACCGAACTTGAAATAATTTAGTTTTATTTTATTTATTTTTTAAAGATTTTATTTATTTATTGATGAGCAGGGAGCCTGACATGGGACTCGATCCCAGGACCCTGGGATCATGATCTGAGCCAAAGGCAGATGCTTAACGGACGGAGCCACCCAGGTGCTCTGCAAACTTTAGTTTTAGAGAAAATAATACTGATGTCGTAGGGTGTTTATGAAGAGTAACTGAGTACACCCATATAAAGAGAGGTTGCACGATGGACTCACTTATGTGTTCACTGTAGGTCCACTCCTGTGGGGATGCAGAGATGGTCATGGGAGACATGGCAAATACACAAGTCCCTGAACAGGGATTTCACAAAATGCAAAGTCCTTGTTAAAACAAGGTGATGCAGCAGAGTTGAGGGCAAAACATTTTTTGACACACTGGAGCTAAAGCCTACCACCCAGAATTTTCTCTTGCAGAGCTGAATGAATGGATGCATCGAGTTTAGGGGACACGTTGGTGAACAAACTGCTAATACTTAGGGCAAAATGTGTATATCACCGATGGTGTGCTGACTTAAATGTGGTTTTAATATAAAGGTTACTAAGATTGATGAGGATTTTTGCCCTCTAGTAGATACTTAACTCTTACTTGCTAGGGAGAATTAATTTAGAAAAGAACACTTGATTTTCATTCGCTGGAAACCAAAGAATAAACTGGGACAGAGTGTGCTAAAACAGGGCTTGACAGACTTTTTCTTTTTCTGTAAAGGGCCAGATAGTAAATATTTTAGGCTTTCCTGGCCACGACAGTCTCTGTTGTCACTACTCAACTCGGCTGTCATTGCAGGAAACCTGCCACAGACAATATGAACAAATGGGCATGGTCGTGTGCCAATAAAATTTTAAAAACATTGAAATTTATATTTCATGGAATTTTCATGTGTCATAAAATACCATTCTTTTGATTTTTTTCCCAACCATTAAAAATATAAAAACCATTCTTAGAAGCCCACGGGCTGTCCCAACAGGTGGTAGGATGGATTTGGCCACCCCCCGGACTAGAGCTTCAGCGAACGTGGGAATAACCAGTTTTCATTAGTGGGCTAAATGAAGCAAAGCACTAAAATTGATTTTTGAGGATTTAGCATATCTGATTTTAGCTTCTCACAGGTGGTCCTAAATTTTTAGAACATGTGCCTATTGCAATTAGTGACTCAAAAGCTTAGCCTAGCCATATTGTCTATTTTTCTTGTATTTGATAAAGATGTAGCAATAACAATTATTACTCTACATAATAAATCTAATGCAGAATCAGTTTATGTTACTTACTACAGTTTGTATTGCTTGAGCAAATCAGAGATGTCAAGAGATGGAGAATTTTAATATGTAATCGCATACTTTCAGTCCTTAGTCTGTCTTCGATCTTTCTGAGTGAACACCTAAAAAGCATTCTCTCTTCCCATTCTGCAGCCCCTCATGTGCATGATATCCCATTTTGTGGATCCTGTATTCCATCAGGACCAAACTTCTGTTCCTGGAATCAACCTAAATATCCAGTCATTGGGTTTTACAAATAATAGTGCAATGAATACTTTTGTTGTATAAATATATAATTGCATAATTTAATATATAACATGTATATTGCACACCTGCAAATTTATCTTTAGGTTAAATTTCCAGAAGGGGAATTAATGGATCAAATGCTGTAAATGCACTTGTACTTTTGCCTTCCATAATGATTGTATTGATTGATAGCAAAATATGAGTGGTTGTTTCCCTCTAAATACAAAGTGTGTTATCACACTTTTCTTGCACTCCTTAAGTGAATCATGGTACCTTGTTTTAGTTTTAACTTGCATTTCTCCCATGATTGTGGTTGTGTATCCCTTCATATGATTATGATCCATTTGTATTTACTTTCACTGAACTTTTTATGGCCTTTGCTAGTTTTTCTATTGTTTTTTTTTTTTTTTTAAGAGCTCTTTATATATTTGGGAAATGAGGCCGTTGTTTTTGGTAGTAGTCATAAGTATTTGTTATCTTTTAACATTGCTTATGATTTTAAAATTATCAAACTTTTAGGGCGCCTGGGTGGCTCAGTTGGTTAAGCGATTGCCTTCGGCTCAGGTCATGATCTCATGGGTCCTGGGATTGAACCTGGAGCCTGAGACGGACTCGGTGCTCAGTGGGGGGTCTGCTTGAGATTCTGTCTCTCCCTCTCCTCCTC